ATGGCTCTTTCACGTTATTGTGATAATTGTCTGGGGCACCACGAATGGCACCCATAAAGATGGAGCATTTGCTAGTCATGGTGGTGTGCATGTGCAGTCTGAACTATTCGGGAGGCCGAGGCAAGGACACTGCTTGAGCTCAAGAATTCAAGACCAACCCGGACACTACAGCAGGGAAATATTTAACACTGAATGAATCCTTCCCTCTGTCCTTTCTTCTTTTTTCTTTTTTTTGTGGAACTTGGGATTGAACTCAAGGGCTTACTGCTCTACCACTGAGCCACATCTCCAACACACTGCATGCGTTCTGATTACCGCACCACCTGGCCATTCCCAGTCTCACCTTCTCCGTGGGCTTCTTTACTCCCTACAGTACACCAATGTGCCACTGAGTAACTCTGTCACGGTCTCTAAGGGCTCAAGCGAAAGGAGTGTCATTTCTCTGACTTTCACCCAAAAGCTAGACGTGACTGAGCTCAGTGAGGAAGGTGTGCTGGGAGCTAGGCCTCTGGTGCCACTCTCCCAAGTTGTAAATGCGAAGGGAAAGCCCTTGAAGAAAGTTCAAAGTGCTTCTCTGGTGATCACACAAATTAATAGAATTCAAAACAGCCTTGTTGCTGATAGAGTTGTGGTGGTTGGATAGAAGATCAAACCAGTCACAACCTGCCCTGAAGTCAAAAGTTTAACTCAGAGCAAGTCCCCGACTCTTTTCAATTCTGTGAAGGCTCAGAGAAGTGAGGAAGCTGAAAAAGAAGAGTCTGAAGCTGGCAGGGGTTGGCTTGTGAGGTTGAAGGGAAAAAGCCATCTCTGCAACACAAAGTGTAAGCAGTAGGCAATATCTAGAAACTGCAGCGAAAAGAACTAGCTCACTCACGAGGTTGGTTACCTGCAATAACGCATTTTCAGTGTAGACAAAAGAGCCTTATACTGGAAGAAGAAGTGTTCTAGAACTCTTACAGACAGAGAGAAGTCAATGCCTAGCTTCAAAGGACAGTCTGACGCTCTTGTTAGGGGCCACTGCAACCGGTGACTCAAAATTGAAGCTGATGCTTATTTATCATTCTGAAAATCCTAGGGCTCTTACTGTAAGGCTGAGGCAGGAGCATTGCAAGTCTGAGGTCCTTCTGGGCAATTTAGTGAGACGGTGTCTTGAAACAAAAACTAAAAAGGGGCTGGGGATGTAGGCCCTGGGTTCAATCTCTGCTACCAGGGGAAAAAAAGAGCCATACTAAATAGAAAGTTCAGAGGATAGCACCTCTGTCACGCACACATTAAGCCCACTGCTGAGACCTGCTGCTCAGAACAAGGCTCCTCTCAGATACTAGCTCACTGACAACGCACCTGAGTACCCCAGGGCTCTGATGGAATAAAATGAGATTGCTGACACCATATCCACTCTGGAGCCCATAAACCAAGGAGCAATTCTGATTTTTCACATCGTGTCACTGATGCCATGATTCTTGGCAATTCCTGGGATGGATCTGGTGGGCAGAGTCAATGAAAAGTCTTCACCACTCTAGATGCCATAACAACCATGTGTGATACACAGGGGGAAGGCAAAATTCAACAGAATTTGAAAAGAAGTTAATTCCAACCCTCATCGATGACTGAGGGATTCACGGCCTGAGTGTAGGTGACGACTGCAGAGTGGTGGAAAAGCAAGGGACCCAGCGTTAGAAGTGGAGCCTGGAGATGGAGTCTCCTGATGGCTTTAGCAGACGAGGAGTTGCTTCTTATGGGTGAGCAAAGAAAACAGTTCTTGAGATGGATCCACTCGGGTGAAAATGCTGTGAACGTTGTTGGATGACAACAAGGGATTTAGAGTAGTACATAAACCTAGCCGATAAGGCAACGGCAGGGTTTAAAGGCACCGATTCCAATTTTGAAAGTTTGACTGTGAGTAAAATGCTATCAAATAGCATTGCATGGTACAGAGAAATTGCTCTTGAAAGAAGAGCAAGTGACAGAACAATTTGATGGCTGTCTCTTTTAAGAACTTGCTGCAGACGCCCCAACCTTCAGCAACCACCCTATCAGTCAGCAGTAATCAGCCTCCAGGCAAGAACCCCACCAGCAAAAAGATGATCACTTGCTGAAGGCTCAGACGACTGTCAGTATTTTTTAAGCAATAAAGAACTTTTAGATTGTTATACACATTTTTTAGATATAATGCTACTGTACACTTAGACCACAGTTGAGTATAAACATAACTTTTATGTGTAGTAGGAAAGTAAAAAAGTCATGTGACTGGTTTTATTGCCATATTTGCTTTATTTATTTTTATTTTTTTGCGGTACTGGGGATCGAACTTGGGACTCTGTGCTTGCGAGGCAGGCGGCGGAACCACTGAGCTAAGTCCCCGGCCCTATCTGTTTTAGTGTGAAGGTCTGGAACTGAACACACAGTATCTTCAAGGTGTCCCTGCATATTTCAGCCTCAAAACTCTTTAAACTCGTCCATTTATTCTCTCAGAGCAAAAATGTAATGCAGCTTCTAGTAAGGTAGAAGGTAGGGAATTTCTTTTCTAGGGTAGATAAGGACCAAGCAAGACCCCTGCTGGTGTAACAGCACTGCCTCCTTCCCTTCCTGTGCCAGCAATGTGACAGGCCTTCAGCACTGGCCCCACTTTCTTCCCTGCAGAGAGCCTCGGTCCTTGCTCTAAATGCACCGGGGACTGAGCTTTGTGAGGGTATAGGCTTTGACTTACTTATCTTTGTAAACAGATACCATGCGCAGAAACGCAGCTGGCACTTAACCAACACATTTTTATTAAATGAATGTTATCCTCCTAAAGGGAACAACATAAGCAGAATGGGACCAGCTCCTCTGGTCAGATAGGTAATAACGGTACTTCCATGGCTTTACTCTTAGCCCACCTAGGAGATGGCTTAATGGCTGTAAATGTGATACTGTAAATGAAACATAGAAGAGAAAAAGACAGTAGGCAGATTTGAAGTAAAAGAATTCTGAAAATGGACTCCAGTCTAAAGACAATCCCTGCTGCCTGGGTAGAGAAATCTGTAAGACTGTTAGGCCAGGTGGCCTGCCAAACTAAAATAGCAGTGACTGGATTCCTCTATTAGGGCAAAAAGAAGACACGACATGGAAGTTACTGTTACAAAAGAAAAACATATTAACATGGGTATCTTACGGTGATAATAAAACTAAGATGAAAACCTCTATCAACGTGTAAGGCAAAGACATGGAAAGACGCTCAAGTTTTACCAAGTAGGAAATGAGCAAGTAGAAAATAATACACAATTTGATTTTGGCTTCAGATTTTTAAAAATGTCAGCACATAGAAAAATATCTGAAGGAATATAATCTAAACTGTTACTAGAAATTAATTCTTGGGGACAAAATTATGATAAAATAACAGCAGAATTTACTCTAGGTTTTTAGAGGAGAGAGGACTTTCTACAATTTATATTTTTTAACGTCTGCATTTTTAAATGAACATATACTATCTTTGTCATCGGAAAAAAAAAAAACTAGAAAACCAAAATGGAACTGAAAACATTTTGTCTTTATGTTTTAAACAAATTAAAGAGAAATCATGTTCAGTGACCCAGCAGGGCGCTGGGAGACCCCCTCTGTGAAGCAGAGATGCCACTCGGCTGTCAGCCAGCACAGGACACGAGGGCAGATGATCTCCAAACCTGCTTGACTTCTAAGCCTGAGCATTTGACTTTCAATATTTTATACTGCAGAACTGCTGCCAATAGGTCTACAAAGTTTTGACCTAAAATATGAGTAAATAATTGACTTCTGAATGCAGGGCTTGCTGGAATTTGTGCAGGTACCCAAGGAGAGTGACAGGCTGTCTCCTGTGACTCCTGCGCACAGGACCCTGGTGGCCAGCTGCTGTGAGCAGAGGATCTGCTGCTGAGGAGCTGCCTGGGTACAGGAACAACACTTTGTGTGGAAGGTTCCCCTGGTCAAGACGGCCAAGGCAGCAGGGAGCCTTCCATTCCCCCCAACAGGGCCAGCGTCTGGGAACTGTGGTCCACCCTCCAGGAGCAGGAGACTGGGCCCACCAGAGACTGCTTCCACGTGAAGGACAAGGTGAATCTGAGCACTAGAAATAGGCAAATGATTTATTTATTTATTATTTTTTGAGACAGGGTCTCGCTATGCAGTTCAGGCTGGCCTTGAACTTGCTGCAATCCTCCTGCCTTTCCCTTCTGAGGGCTGGAATTACAGGCTTGCACCACCACACTCAGCCTTAGTTAATGACTTTGTAAAGCAACCCTCTTTAAAGAGGATTTCTTCCTTTCCCTTTGTTTTTTTTGGAGAAAGGATCTTGCCATATACTCCACATTGGCTTTCAACTCACTATGTAGCCCAAACTGGCCTCAAATTTGAAGCAATCCTGCCTCAGCCTCCGGAATGCTGGGATTATAGGTGCGCACCACACCTTTTGTTTACAAAATTCTTATCTAAGGCCTTAACTTTAGTTTTGTCAAAGGGAAAAATCTGACTTCAGAAGATACAAATGAACAGTTTCAATATCTGGGAAACATGCCTGTACCCTCTAGAGTGAAAAAATTGTCTTGGAAATGTTAAGTTTTTTGCTTGGCTACATGTTAACTGTAATGATCGAGCAAAATCTTTGAAATGAAATTCCATTCTTTCCGTTTTCAGTCACGTCCTCATCTGGATTCTTATTGGGCCGAAACTAATATGGCGTTTTCTGTTTACTACAGCAGCACTTCCTTACTGAGGTGAGGCAGCCAAGCCCATCTGTAGGTTTCTGCCTCAAAACCAGCAGGGGGAGCTCATCCACACAAGACTGAAGCCATCTATAGGGATGGTGGGAGATATAATTCAACTTTCTTCAGTGACAGGGGCCTTTCTGCATGAGGGTGGATCACCATACAACAAGCAACAGGTTCTTGACAGTGGTGCTGAGATGCAGAACCCAGGGAAGTGTGTCAGAGACAGACAAGCTGTCATCACCGCAGGGCACTGCCCGCAACAGGTGTGTATTCTGCCCGTACCTGTTTTTCAAGGCTTGGCTTGCTAAGCTGTACAGTTTGAGGTCCAGCGAGTCTGGTCCCTGGAGTAGCTATCACAATGCTGGTGAGCTGGGCCATGGGGAACGTTTTGGCTATGGTTGCGGTCTGCCCATTGACGACCCGGACAGGGTGGATGGAATTCTGGGATGTGGGGAGGGTTGTGGGAGTAAACTTGGTCAGCATGACAGGCCTCTGGATAAGCTGAGGAGCTGCAAGCATGGGAGGAGGCGCTGGGGCGATAGGAATGTTATTCTGGGCCACAGGCTTGGGTCGAACCTATTGGGGAGAGAAAGAGTAATTATTATATTACTCAAAGAAATTTCTCAAGTCCTGTAAGTCTACAACATGGCCAATCTTCGACACACTATATATATGAAATAGTATTTAATATAAATACTCACTGATATTCCTTTACTATTCATTCTACAGATTTCAAGACATATAATGGGACAAAAGAGTCACCAGCACTAAGGGAATCCAAATGCTATCCTGAATTAGTACCTACAATTCTAGCACCTCAGCTCTCCCTCATAGATCAGGCCACCCCTTCAGAAAGATGTTAAGAGCCTGATGCAGTGTACCCACCCAAAACCTGTGCGCAGAAGGGCGACAGTGTTGCTGACCGCTTTAATTCACATTCTAAATTTCTACGTACTCACAGCAACAGTTTACCCTCTATCTCCCTGTTCTCGGCTTCTCCTTCTCAGTCTCTTCTGTGGGTTTACTCTACCTCTGCCCAATCTTTTTTGTTGTTGTTGTTGTTTGAGACAGGGTCTCACTATGTAGTTGAGACTGACCTTGAACTCACTATGTAGCCCAGGCTGGTCTCAAATTTGAAGTGATCCTCCTGCCTCAGCCTCCCAAGTGCTGGGATTACAGGTGTGCGCCACCACTCCTGGCTTCTCCACCCAATCTTAATGTGAGTATTACTCAGGACTTTGTCTTAGAACCCCTCTCTTTCCACTAATTTAGTCTTAGTCTTCCTTCAATTAGAATCTGTATACCCAAGGCCTGCACAGTCTTCTCAGGACCAGAGAAATTCCTGAACTTCAACCGCTGTCAGGGATCTCTACGTAGACATCTCATGAGAAGTTCAAAGTCAACATCTCAAACACACCAGCTCCTTTCTCTTTTAATCACACCAACAGCCTTTCTCTTTCCTTTCTTTCTTCCCTTCTTCACTTCTTCTTCTTTTTTCAGTATTGGCAATTAAACCCAGGGCCTCTGCACTGAGCTACATCCCCAGGTTTTTTCATCTTTTATTTTGAGACAGGGTCTCAGCCAATTGTTAAATTGCTCAGACTAGGTTGAAACTTGAAATCCTCCCATCTCAGCCTTCCAGAATGCTGAGATTAAAGGATTGTGCCATCACACCTGGTTTCAGTGGCTTTTTCTTGATGAATAAATTTCAGAAGTCATTGCCCCCCCTCCCCCTTTC